AGTTAAACAATCGCTCCTGAAATGCCGCATTCCGTGCAACTTGGAAGTTGAGAGTCGTTTACAGATATAATGCGAAAGCATTAACTGTCCCATGGGGCGATGCCGGCGTTGTCTGTAGCAGCGAAAAAGGCACCTAAATTGTGTCTGTAGCAGCGAAAAGCGGCACGTAAATTCCCATTGGCTGAACGAAACGACACCTAAATTTCCATTTGCTGCGACGCGTCATGTGTCTCCATAGCAACGGAGTCATCGTTGCTAAAAGGCCAGCCGAACTGCTGAAGGCGCAGCGGGAAGGGGGAAGGGGGGGGGGGGGGGGGGGGGGTATGCGCTGGCCTGACGTTAGGCCTAACGTTAGGTCCAACGCCATCAAACGATACACGCAGCTAGGGCGATGATAATGGTGTGAGGACACGTGATTTCAGCACGCGCCGCGCCGAGTGTCGCACTTTCCCCGCTGCCTCACAAAGCGGCGCAGCAGGCAGCAGCGAGCCAGGGCGGTCTGCCCGGCGCACCGCCGCACTCCCTACCGGAGCTGCGGCCGCTTCTGCACCTCTCGACGCCGAGGAACATGGCGGCGCCTGAAGCATCTATATCGTCGGCGGCCGCAACCTCGGCAGTAGCGAAACGTGGCCGTCCACGCCAGTACACCGCAGACGATCTAAGAGAGCGGAAGCTCGCTTGCACTTTCGCATTTAATTGCATTATAATCATAGCGATATTAATGCTTTCGCATTCCCAACTCATAAGAAGTGCTTAGGTGTTCTCGGAATTTTTTGACTACAGAGTTTTTAAGCTTTTAAAACAGCGTTACCTAACGAATTCCCATAAGCATCGTCATGGCAAAACACGAGACAAACAAATTAGACGTTCATGTTTAGAGAACGTAAGGTCGGTCTGCCTTCGAGATGTGGCGACGCTGGTTGACGCTGTAGATGAGAAGTTTAGCTATGGTGTGGTACGACTGCTAGCCTGGCGTTTTTAACGTGCGCCATGCTGTAGTTATTCACGACCGCACGCCGGTACGTTGGTCATCCAGATTGAAACGGGCAAGGGTGGGGATTGAACCCCCGATCCGTGGGTTTCGCACTGCGAACTTTCACTCCTCGTGCTACGAGCTGCTGTGCGCTAGCACACTCAGTTACCGATTCCACATTGTCGTTGCACGCAAACAATTTTTATTAAGTATGCGGCATACTTGCGGCATAAATCTTGAAAGAGTCTGCTCAGTTTAATCGAGCTGCAGGCGTTCAACTTAAATTCAAGCGTTGTGCAAAAAAACAAGAAAACCTAATGAAGCATATATTACGTCGGTGTCTCGCAGAAATCAAAGAACATGTATTAACAAGGTTGTCAAACATACTAGAATGACAAACAATAGGAAGTGTTTCTTCTCGTGGTTCTTGCTTTGTCTTGTTGATTTTATATATAAGCTGGCCGAATTTACGTCGGTAAGATTAAAGCGCGGTGGCAAGGCGAGACGACATAGCACGACAAAGAAGTCGGAAGGAAGTACCCAAGCAGATATCTGACATCGCTGAGCGACTAACTGATTATGTTCATTTCCACTATCTGCCTACCGTAGTGTCATGTCCTCCGCTGCCGCCTAGTTGCCACGTATGCCGAGACTCCTCGGCAAACAACGTCGAGAGCTCTCTGAGTGGAACACTCTGGCAGAATGAAATCAAGCCCGCGCGGCACGTTTCCCCCAAAGATCTGAAGATTGCATTCCCCGTTGGAGGAGCACGGACGCGCTAACTTCTCTGCCTAACCTCTTTAGGACAGCTCTCCCGGACCGGGCGGAGACAATGGACACTGGGCAGGAGTGGTTGAGCCCTCCGGGCAACAGGAAACTGGAAGAGAGGAGAGTGGATAGGCTCCATACGACGGAATTGTGTTCCTTTCGCTGTATAAGGCGATATCCCTTATTCACGCCGGAAGTAAGGGGGTGTCACAGTGGAAAGAGAAGAAATAAACAGTAGCTGCCAATCACTATGGCCCTTCTATCTATCTATCTCTCTCTCACTCTATATATATATATATATATATGTCTACCCATCTATACCTATCTATCTATCTATCTGTCTATCTCCATCTATTTCTATCTATATGTATTTCGATCTCTATCTATCTATCTATCTATCTATCTATCTATTTTGCTCCCCATATAAATGTGATTACTACGCTGTACACTGTAACCAACGTTTCTAGAACCCCTCAGTTGGGAAATTGCCATAGAGACTGCTCTAAAAAAGTGGCGCTGATCCGTACTCGAGAACCGAGCTAATGACGACCACAACGCCGCCATTTCTCCCGCAGCGGCCGTTCGAGGAACTGCACGTGACTTCTATTTTGGCTTTAATCGGCCATTTTGGCTCTGAACCAGATACCGGGGAAGGAGTTTCACTGGTGCCACCCCGTCTCCCAAGCAGACGCGTTAAGATACACCTCGGTAAGAAGTTAAGATACACCTAGGTCGGGATGCGCTACCTGAAATCAACACTGAGGCATAGTTGTATAAAAACAATATTAATTATGCTGCAAAACCGTGCAAACTACATATTTTAGAAGACATCACGCGCCCTTCATTTTCTACTAAACTCCAATAAAAGTTACTACAAAAAAAAAAGTTTTTTCCGTTGGTTTTTACGCAAAAACATGCTTTCGAAAAGCTCAAGGTGACCACAGTAAAGACAAATGATATAAAGTGGCGCTGTTGTCGTATTTAGCTCGGTCTCGGTGGACGACAGTGGCGCAGGTTTCAACGCCAAGTTTCCTTATTGAGGGTTCTAGTAACGTTGATTGTAACCGATTTGCGAGAGTGGTTGATGTGTTCTTGTTACAAGCACGCAAGTAGTTATTATACGAAGGACTCCTGGCAGCAATAGCGGGGGTGAAGATGGTGAGGCTTTCGAGCCTCCGTTGATAGTGCAGGGGTTGAGAAGCCCAATGAAACAAACAGCCGCACGGGGTTGGCGTTAATGCTCTGGGGACGCGGCAGACTAGTACTGGGCCATATGGTAATGACGTTTGATGAGGCATGGTCAGGTGGTAGTAAGATTTTATAGTATGTCCAAGTCTGTCTCTGCTTTGAGTGTTCGTGAGCCCCCCGTTTTATAGACGCGGTGACATTTTCACATATTTGCATCGCCGACGGGAACTTTTTTGTGATTGGTGTCGACTGTTAGCATCGATAGAGGTCGAATGGGGTCTGTCATTGTCCCAAGGGCTATGTCCTCGCAGCAGCAGCTTCGCTTTATGTGAAAATAGAAGGAAGACGAAGATTGTGATGCTGATAACTTCGGTAGATGTTTGAAAGCCTTGGTACCGGGTCTTCAAGGGGGCGGGGGAAGGGGGGGGGGGGGGGGGCGTTTCTGTCGAGCGACGGTTTTGCATGCGCCCGTCCCTGTAAGTGGGCCGTCAGCAGAAAACGACCTCGTTGGGGATGTAGAAACATGGCGACGACAAAACGACCACAACCACCGCCTTTTCGATTACGAGGCCGGGGGCTGAACTTTCTGCGTCACCTACAGAGGCGAGCTGCGAACAAGATGGCAGAATCATCTGCGAGCTCGCCTCAAGCATGTTCCAAGCCCGCTTGCTTCATACTTCCAGTACGCATACTTCGAACCAGGGTGTCGAACCAGAACCGAACCGAACCGAAAACCGGAACCGAAACGGTATTTTTTCCGGAACTGAACCCGAACCCGAACCGTTATATTGTTATCGCGATGAACCCGAACCGGAACTGAACCGGAAAAAAATAACGGTTACCGGCTCATGTCAAAACGGTTCGGCCACGCGCTGTTGACAATGAATGTGCTATCAATGCCATTTGTTTTTTAAGTGCCGTCAACTGACACACACCTCGCTTACATATTTTTCTTCTCCACTCAGTCTTAGGAATATAAACGCTGCATCCATGAATCTTGGCAAACGCTGCATCCATGAATCTTGACATAGGAACCAGTATTGCGCTAGTCGCGGCTTGCACGGAAAAAAAAAATTGAAAGGCTGTGCAAAAAAAAAAAAAAAAAATCGCGTTTTGGGATTTTATTTTTCTACAATCTCGTAAATCCTAAATGCTGCGGTGTGCTCATTTCATAACACGTTTCTAGAACGCGCGAGTTCTTGAAGCTTGCTTCCATCGGAATGAGAAAAGAAAAGGCTGTGGAGTTTGATAATAATGCATCCGGTTTCGTATCGGCACTTAGAAGCTAACATATTTGTGAGACAGCGAACTCTTCTATTTTAATATTTAACCTATTACGTCCTTCTGGCGTTGCGTTCGGTGAAGTGTTTTTCATATTCCGTATCTTGTTTAATGAAAACTTCTTTAAGGGCCTAATTTGAGTTACCGAAGGCTAGTTCAAATAAAGAAAGCTGTATTTTCTCCCCACTGTTCCTTCAATTGCTTACACGCCGAGGTGGCGGGATAGTAAGCGAGTTCTACTTGTAAGTGGGTTTGTAAGGAGGTCGCGGATTTTACAGCTACTGCGTCGGACCCAATTAGACGAAGTCCGAATGCGTAAACGTCGGTGAGGTAACCTTTGAGTGCACATAAAGAAACCATTCCTGGTAGAAATCCCTGAGCCTTACACTACGATGTATCCCGTTTCGTATGTGCTGATTTCAGATGTTTTATTTGTAATTTATTTTGATGTTGCAATTTGCCATTTATAATTTCCGAACCGGTTCGCGAACCGGTTCAGCGCCCCGAACCGGTTCGCGAACCGGTTCGCGGATCGAATTAATCGAACCGGAACTGAACCGGAACAAAATAAATTTACCTGAACCGGAACCGGAACCGAACCCGTATTTTTTTCGGTTCGACACACTGCTTTGAACATACCTTCGGACAGCTTTTGAATGACCAACGTGACAGTAGCGTTATGTGAAGAAGAAACGCGTCTCAGACCGCGTTTGTAACCCGTCTTTCGTAGCATGTGTTAGAAGTGCGGTCGCGGCTTTAGGGTGGTCTTTGTTTTTGTTCCGATGTACAGGGAGTTCGTGACGAGCGTGATGCGACTCCGAGGCTCGGCGTTCCGGAGCTACTTCCAGGACGTGGACCGCGAGGAGCTGCTGACGGACGACCTGCCACCAGCGGCGTCGCCGTCCGAGCAGCGGGTGCGAGTGCCGTTCGGCGGCGACGTGGCCGAGGCTCAGGTGTGCGACGTCCGCGTCGAAGTCCGCTACCCGCGCTTCGGCCTCGACAAGGACGGCGCCATGAAGCTCATCGTCAACGACGGAGGGGAGTACCGCCAGCCCGTGCGCATCGAAGTCTGCAGGTGAGCAGAAATCCGCACACGATGTAGTCTCCTAGCTAACACTCTATCGCACTAAAGTCGGTGACAGAAAGTATAAAAAGTGAAGGCTCCTCCAACCTCTCTCCACTTTGGCAGAGCGGACGCTGGAGAGGAGCAACACCTCCTAGATGAAAAAGCCATAGTGCTGATACAGATGTCATCATCAGCGAAGGCCAGTGCTGGTAAAAAATTGGACACCACGATTGCATCAACGTTCGGCATAAACTTGACTCCAAGCCAAGCTCTGGCGCAGCACTCGTTTCCAATCTGTGACCAGCGTTGGCCTTCGATGGCAATGCAAAAATGTCAGCATTATGGCCTTGTCTTCAAGGCGGTGTTGAGAGGAGGCGACCATCTCTCCAGCGTTCCCTCTACTAAAGGGGAAAGAGGTGGGAGAAGCTTCCACTTTGCTCTTAACCTGTCACTGACTATACTGTAACCGTCTATACTTAAACTGTCATCGTCTCTGTTTCTCTCTGTCTGTGTTTTGTCCTTATCGTTCTAGCTGACCGTTTACTTTAGCATTATGTACCAACTAGCTCAACTTCAGCCTGTTATTCACCGTCTATAGTTGCGCGCACTAGAAGCCACAGGCGGGAGAGAGACAAAAGCATCTTTTGTGAGAATTTCGAGTGGCGGGCTATTCTTCAAGGGGGACAAAGGCGACGCCGAAGGTACAGAAAAGACGGTTCGGGTAAGAGTGCAGTTTCTTCTTTCTCACCTCTCTAACTGCTCGGGTTACGCTCTCGCTTCTGCACCTTTGTTAACGCTGCACGCCACTAGTGAGATAAAGTGTAGGTATTTTGGAATGTGATATTACAAAATGAAAGTTAGGCGTTTTCATTTTCATGCGAAAATGTAACAATATATGCACATGTTTGATCTAGATCTTGTGTGTCTGCGATGCTCTTCAGCACGAGCTCTTACAATTGACCCATATCGTGTTTCTCTACGCTCTGGTGGCAATTCGTGCATCAAGGGGTCCATGAAGACGATTTTTAAATTTGTTTGTAAAGGGTGTTTTCTCACTCACCATGCAGGCCGGCGGCCTGGCAATGTGCTCAATCTTTTTATACAGTTCGATCAAGCTTATTATTTCGTATAAAATAAATCAACGCCATAGAAACTGACGTTAGGCTTTCCCGCCATAGAAAATCTCAAAAAACGGAGGGAACGTCAACAGTAGTTTCGTTTGATTTACCTGCACCTCCTGCACCGGAGCAGAAAAGTGTAGGGCAGTGTACTTCCGGTACGTGTATTGAGATACGACCGGAAGAACACCGTCCTTCACTTTTCTGCTCCAGAGCAGGAGGTGCAGATAAATCGAGTAAAGCTACAGAACCGTCGGTTTCGGTAGTATTAAGTGCTCATGAGAGTAGATGGTGCGGTAAGCTGTAGCGGCGCCTTGTGCTTTTAGAGCGTTGTATACCGCTTTGCGAGTCTTGCGACAGCGAGGAAACGTAACTGTGTGTATATTCTGTCGATATCGTTTATGACCAATCGCGTTGCGAACGGCGCTATCGCATTACAAAGAACAATAATGGTTGTGTCTCTGTCACGTACCAAGTGAGGCAAAACACCGTGACAGGCTTAACGCGGACGCCATCAGCTTTAGTAACCCAATACTTGACACAAATGTGGTCCTGGTCGAGGATGCTCGGCGAAAAAGCAACGGAGCCTTGGTCTCCCTCAGAGGCGTTTACAGCTGTCATTGTTCCCGCATACTCTTGCACAACGCTTCAGTACACAACCGGCACAGAAAGGTTTCGTTGGATGAAAGGCTGGATGGATATGCTGGAAAGATCGGGACGTGCTAGACAAGGTCTGACAAAAGCTTTTTGACGTGGACCCGGAGGTGTATTGGAAACTGCAGCGCGTCAGCCTGGTAGTTTCTGCAGCTCCCTTCACGCGTGGAAACAAGAATTGCGCGACAAAACGGACAAAGCAACGATGCGCCATTTTTGCTTTTCAAGAGAGAAAAAAAAACTGTTGTTGCCACACTGAACGTTTTTCTAGTCAGTCCACACAGAATATTCATAAGTGAAAAGCGCTCGGCTATTTGAGTCCACGCGTCAGCGGACTGAAACAGTATTTCCTTTATGCGGTAGCATTAGTATTCACATGACATGGGAAAGCTGACGGCGTCCGTCTGTGGACAAAACAGTGGAAAGGGAAGCGCGCCGCCTAGAGGGGGAGAGTAGTGAAGGTCAAAGGCGAGAGGGAGCTGACGTCACAAGGCGGAAGCCAATGCGCGCGCGGATTCTGAGCCGAGTCTGAGCTTGCAGGACTGTGGAGCGCGTACGCCTTGGTTTGTACTTTAAAATGCTGCGTGAACCAAGTACTAGCGCTGGTTCAAGTTGGCGGCAAAACATTTAAAGAAGATTCATTGATGGATCCTTAAAGAATGCGTTGGCGTGGCCCTGGTGCTGGGGAAACGTCACACGCGTCCCCCTTTTGGAAGCTCTAACACTGACCCCGTAACGAAGCCAAAAAAAGGCAGCAAAAAATAAAGGAAGCAAAAGGGAAAGCCAACACAAAAAAGTGAACGGGTCAGCGTTTTCCAAAGGGGGACGGGTGCAGCGCTTTCCAAGGGTCATGCCAACGCATACCCCGAGGATCCACCAATGGATTTTTCTTTAATGTTTTCCGTTACAGTAAAGCTTTCTGCCCAAAATGTACGGTTTCCGTTCTTATTTAATTTAAACAGATTTTTTTTATCGGGTTTACGATATAAAAACGAAGACGAGCGGACTCCGTTGATTTCGACCATTCACCCGGCCAGTCTCAACTGATGTCACGGTCCACGTGTCTCAAAAGCTGGATTTTTATTTTTCGCAGTTTCGGGCGTCGCTGTTATCTGTCTCGCCGTGATTACTTCTGAATCTGTGAAATAAATTTGTGCGGCGCGCAAGCGCGACTTGGGACTAAAACTTCGTCAACGTTACATGGAAGACACTTGACATCAATTTCAGTCCTTAAACTGAGCTTCCAAATTTACTTAATGTCCCTTTAAATCATGATTCTAAGCTACAAAAAGAACCTACATTTTTTTGTTGTTGTTGTTTTAAGAGATGGGGTTAGGGGTGTGGCTAGGAGGAGAAGCGGGTAATTTCTTAAGGCTCAAGCACTCCCCCCTGCCCCCCCCCCCCCTTTTTTTTTGTTTTTCTTTTTTTTTCTGAAATGGAGTTGACCCTACTGAGGAAGAGAACCAACCATCACGCATCTAACAGTTAAGTTGGAAAGTATACCTATGGGGACAAGCACAGCGTGAAATATTTGCACTTCTGTCGCTGCGCTCGGCTCATATAGCCGAACTATGCGTCATCGTTTGGCTGGTGCTTGCGTCCAGTAAGTGAAGTACCAATCGAACACGAATCCCAGCCGAACGCTAACGCGGCACTCGTTTACAACCTGCGTTCCGAGCTCAATTAAGGAAGATGACGCAAATAATCCAGTCCACGAACCTTGCGTTGGGTAAACAGTACTGTTCACTGAGAAGTATGACAAAACGCCCCGCTATATTTTGATAGCCCCCCCCTCCTCCTCACGTAATTATCATCCCAGCCGACCCCTCTCCCCCCTCACACACACACACACACACACACATATTTTTTCTCAAAGACAATATTTTGCTACGTCGCTGGAGCATTTTATGTAGGACAGCGCTTGTTTGGCTGAATGTTGCATGCCTTCGTATTCCGTGCGCCTCTTGTTCGCACTCGTACCACCCGAAGGCATTTCCCTGGACACTCGGCCCTTTTTAAAATTAAATTACTTGCATCTCGTTTTTTTTTTATTATTAACATATTTTTGGAAAGACTCGCCGTTTCAATTAAAATTCGTTCACCCTCATTCGCCCTTTAAATTGCAAAACGGCTGCCAAGCCATCGATCCAATACGTGGGAAATGCACGAAACAAACAACAAAAATCTTATTTTCATTTCGCGAGTGCTCCTACGAACTAGTTGACCGAGAGAGACAGTTTCTGAACGCGCGAAACTAGGCACAGATAATGAAATCTCGTTTAGCGGCGTTCGGCCGACAACTCCGGCAAAGCAACACTAGAAAGTAAAAACGCGGAGACTTTCGGAGCACGTGTGACTGCTTCTAGAAAGAGTTTCTTAAAACGAATACTGCTTCTTTTTAAAAAATCTTGAACAAATTTTTCTAAGGCCGGGAATTTAATTTAGCATTACGCAGCAGAGTAGCCTTATTGAAAACTTAACAAATTCTTCGGTACCTCTTTAAAATGGGGGCAAACTAATGTGCAGCCACCTTGGCCCCGGTAGAGACTGAAGACAGCGCAGTATTTCTAGAATAATCTCACATCAAAAGCAATAATATTATTTACTAAATAAACCGTCCCTACCTCCCTTGCACAATCACCCTCCCCTTCCCCGCCCAACAATTTCTTGCACACTACCGCTGCGGTGGAGATTGACTACCCATACTTATGTTCCATTGACTATGACCGGCTGATCCTGGAAGCAGGGCGGTCGGTCATAGGCTGCCTCTTGCTTGAGCTGGCAGCCTGCTTGAAACTTTATTAGCAGCTGGAGATTTAGAGCCGCTGATCTCACGAGCCCGTCCGCGACGAGAAGTTTTGACCTTAACCGGCATCTCATGAGCAGTTCGGCTGGGCAGTATCCATTTTTCAGGGGTGTCGTCACATAAAAGAGTCGTATTTGATAGGGATATCTCGTCTTGTCTACAGGGTATTGAACCGAACTCGGACCGTGAACCGGAAACCGGAAAAGACCGTTATTTTCGCGCGAACCGGCGTTGAACCGGTACGAAATAATTTTTTTCGCTCCGGAGCGGAACCGATATGTTTTCCATGCTGCTTTCGGTTCATACGCGGAATCAGGTTGCGTGAAAAAGGCGTGACGAAAAACACAGTAACCAAAATAGTCAACCGAAAAAAAAAAAAGAAAAAAAATATTTTTGCGCAAATTGGAGTTGAACCGGACCGAAAGAATTAT